GTCACTGCTGCCTCAGGGTGCCTCGAGCTGGGGACCCTGGTTCTCGCTCTCTCTCTGCAACTGAAAAGAGTGAGGCTGCTGGGGGTGGGGGGTGGGCGGCAGGGGGGCACACAGGGGCTAACAGCCATTTTCTTCTTAAAAGCAAATACATGAGGCCAGGTGTGGTGGCTCATGCCTGTAATCCCAGCACTTTGGGAGGACAAGGCAGGCAGATCACTTGAGGTCAGGAGTTTGAGGCCAGCGTGGCCAACGTGCGGAAACCCCATCTCTATTAAAAATTTAAAAAATTAGTCTAGCATGATGGCGGATGCCTGTAATACCAGCTAGTCAGGAGACTGCAGGAGTCTGAGGCACGAGAATCACTTGAACCCGGGAGGTGGAAGTTGCAGTGAGCCGAGATCATGCCACTGCACTCCAGCCTGGGCGACGAAGTGAGGCTGTCCCCCCAAAAAAAGCAAATACACAAGCAGCCCCTACTTCTCTTTTCCTCCCGCTTCTGTCTCTGGTCAAACCCTATCTGGCAGTGACTTGAGCAGGAAAGAGAGGACCTGTGGAGCATCCAGTGCGAGCCTCTGCATCAGGCCAGAGGAGAGAGAAAGAGTGAAGCGGGAGCCCAGACCTTTCCATCGGCAAGGTACAAACCATGTCACTGCACTAACGGCGTGACAGAGCCAGCCAGACCCAAGAGGTTGATGTTCGCATGATGGGGTGAGGAACAACTTTCCTGGGACTTTTAAATATGGGGAGTAGCTCAGGAATCTCTAATTCTACTTTAGAGAACCCTGAGTTGGAAGCCAGAGGTCAAACCCAACACGCTCTGAGTTGCCAATTGGTAAATAAGGCGGCCGGGCGTGGTGGCTCACGCCTGTAATCCCAGCACTTTGGGAGGCCAAGGCGGGCAAATCCCCTGAGGTCAGGAGTTCAAGACCAGCCTGGCCAACATGGCAAAATCCTGTCTCCACTAAAAAAGTACAAAAATTAGCTGGGCATGGTGGCGGGTGCCTATAATCCTAGCTACTCAGGAGGCTGAGGCAGGAAAATTGCTTGAACCTCCCAATTCAAGGTTGAACCTCCCAATTCAAGGTTGAACCTCCCAATTCAGAGGTTGAACCCCCAATTCAGAGGTTGAACCCCCAATTCAAGGTTGAACCCCC